ATCTAATTTATCTCACAAAGTATTTCAAAGATCTGTGATTTCCACAAGTTCTTTTGGAGAGCTGGGATAGGCTTCCAACCCCCCTGCTACTCTGCTGGGAATGAGCCGTATAGAAAATGGATGGATGTTTGTTCCACGTTAGTCTCTCTGGGCTCTTATGGGCACTTGTTTTAAATCCAAAGGAAGCTCATTTCAGAGCTTTGGAGCCTCAGCAGAAAAAGCTCAAACGCCTATCAGCTTCCTCTGATTTTTTTTATCACCAGCAGTCACCCATACAAAGGAAAGGTTCTGATCATAAATAGACGTCTGAGATAGAAAAAGGATGATCTTCGCACATCATTAACATGGTCACCAATCCTGAGGGCAGCTTCCGTTTTTACACAGCAGACAGACCAGCAGCAGAGGCTCAACCACGCCGGTTCATTTACATTAAATATGAGAGTCTGACGATGAAAGGATGTTCTTCATAAACACCTCGTACATTAAATGAACGGATGCGGGATTTCCACGTGCTGAAGCGCAGCGACACGCTGAGCTCCGCCAGGCCTCCGGAGAGCGGGGCCGGCCTCAGCCTGAGGTCAGGGGCGAGCAGAAGAATGGTGTGACTGGAAGTGGTTTTGGTCGTGGTGGTGTTTGGGCTGAGAGCTCATCACCATCAAAACACCCATTCTTTTGGATTCAGTTCGGATCATTTATTTGTTCCAGACGTCCAGATTCTCTGCTCAAGAAATCAAAAAGTGTCTAAATAGTTTCAAATCCCAGCAGATGTTGGGAGACAAAAGAGCCTCAGAGAGCGACCAGCGACTGGCGGCTGCTCTGAGCGGCTCAAAAGCGTTTGAGTAGGTCTCCAATCCAGTGAGTGCAATAAAAACTCATTCTCAAAATAATCTAATCAGTTTTATGTAATTGTTTATGCAGAACATAAAAAGGGTGTAATGAGGGGGGGGGTCATAAATTATTGTAATTATCACAGCTTCTTTGTTTGGAACAATGAGTCATTATTGCTTCGCATGTCCACAAACACGTCCCAGACTTGGACTGAATGTGATTAAGTCAGCTGAGGCCTGACACTTCGGGGCTATAAATCTACATCCCAACTGCTCTCAGCGGGGGCCAGAAAACAGCCCGAATCAGGACTCCCGTTCAGTTTGTTCCCATCGTAATGAAAGCAGGTAATGAGGGCGGGGCCAGAGCGGGTGCTCAGCTCCGGGGTGGCGCAGAGACCCGGGGTGCTCTCAGGCTGTACCCCTGCCAGAGCCAGCTAATAGGCATTCTCTCCCACTCCCTGGCCTGATTGGGACCAGATGTGTGTGTTCACTCTGGGAAATGGCTGAGATGAGAGACAGCGAGGCTGCCAGAGCCACAATAAATTCATGGAACGACTAATGAATAAAACAACAGCGGATTAAATGCACCACGGCTAAAAATAATTTGATTAAGAGTCCGATTGTTGTTGTCGGCCATGCCGGAGACAGCTGTAGGTGCAGAGCACCACATTTCCCCTCCTAATGAGCATCCACCAGCTCTTTTTATGGGGTTTCTGGGCAGAGCTTCGTGCCTGATGAGTCAGATGTCATCACGTGTGATTGCCTGTTTAAAAAGTCTCAAACATTCTGACTGTGTTTGGTCGGGTTCAGCCGGGGTCGATCCGAAGTCAAAACACACCCGCTCAGCCAATAACCTGCCGGGATCAGCTTTGATTCCTCACATCTGCCAAGGAGGGCACGGGTCCTTTGGGACCCTGTGCGTGGAAAAAATCGAATATTTATCCGAGTATCCCCTGAGCTGTCTGAGCGGAGTTTGACTTGGTTTGTCCTTAAACGTTAAGCTTTTCATGGCCTGAAATGTCAGTACTGCCCCCTCACAGGAGACACGGGCCCTTAACATGGATGTAAGTGCTCCTGGATTTAGAAGAGTGTCTCAGTTTTACCTCAGATTTGGTAAAAAATCAGTTGAACTTAAACAGGAATGCGGCAAGGAAAACGATTCTCAGGATTCCTTCTCTAATTCCAGAAAAGGTTATCAATATTGGGGCGAGTCGTCATCAGTTTGTTTCAGTTTCTGTGCGGAATACAAAAACAGAAACACAGAAACACTCATCTCCAAGTGTGGAAATGCCGCTCATATCAGCCCCAACTGAAAGATCCATCTGTTAGGTTCAGTAATGACACGCTAAAGATAAAACATCAGCATGTTTTAAACTTTCTAACAGAAGCCCCCTTTAGGTGCTCTGGTCCCCTCCCTGTCTTATTTTTCACCTGAATAACAGCCTCACGACCATACTGGGCCTGGGCTCCCGGGACGGCTGAAGGGTCCTGAAGGTGTCTGGGTGTTGTCCAATAAGCTTACAAAAGGGTCCACACACAGCTCTGAAAGGCAGAAACAGAGCAGGGAGGCTGCCCCCCCCCCCCCTCCTTCAACAGGTGGAACTCCTCAGAACTCCGAATAGGGACTCTCTCCAAAAACATTAAGAGGGTTGGCATGAGGCTGGCACCACACAGACTGACAGCCAAGTCTGGAGAAACACCGTGTTAATGAGGATGGACGAGCTCAGGTGTATTTATTGTTCTCATTTTTGGCAGCTTAGAGCTACAGAAAAATGAAGCTAGAATAAATATTCTTTGGTAGATTTGACTAAAACCTCTTTGGAACAATAACAGAGTGGAACAAACGGCAGACGACATCCAAAGAAGAACTTTGGGATGTCCTTTCGAAAACTCAAAAGACTCCTTAAAGTAAGAACACAAAGCTGGTTAAAGAGGGTTCAGATTCATCCTCACAAGTGATTTTATCTGTTTTAGCTCATCTAGCTTCTTCCTACAACTTTGAGGACACCCAATAGCTGCTTTCCTCACTGACATGTGGGCAGCAACTCATTTAGTTTTAAATGCAACACCAGAGAAGTGGATGCAAATGGTTGAATAAATGTTAAAAAGTTCTGCACATGGACAACAACTGTTAATGCCAATGCTCTGAAATCCACAACACTCACTATACTGCATGATTCCAGAAACACAGCATTATCTATACAGCCCAATAAGATGGCCATGATGCTATGATGAGGCCATTTAGCAAAAGGTTGTGACAAACTGAGCAGCCCTGCTTCAGAGGTGTGTTAAAGTCCAACAGTGATGGGACACATGCCTCCATCAGGTGCTAAATATTCTGCACCACTCAGCTTCTTGATGTCAGAAAAAGCTTTGATTTAGTCAAAAAGGCTTTTCTAACACTTAAAACGCCAAATATGATGTTAAACAGGAAAAGGGAAGGCTGGGGTTCTTGTTTAAAGGCTCCAACATGGAAACATAAACACACGTCTGAATCAGAGAGGGCTTCTCTTTTCGCTGGTTCGTGCAGAAAAGTGGCAGCAGATGGCAGAACAAGAGGTCACCCAGAAGATTAAAGAGCAAACTGAGAAGAGGCGCCCCGACCAGTCAGAGGGATGATGGGGTGGCTGTTACTCCGTCCCCAGTTCCTCCCAGGCTCCGACTCCCCGATGCTCCTCTCCCCGAAGCGGCTGCCTACTTCCTGTTTGCAGTGTGAGGTCAGCATGGACGTTCACTGCACATGCTCAGTCGTCCACCACAAGCAGCCAACATGATGAACACAACTGTTGGTGTGTCCTATTTAATGGAGATTTCTGGGACCGGCTGAGCTACCTGAGTTCAAAAGGGCTCTGGATCTGTTCAATAGAAAGATTGAGAGTTCTTCTGTTTTTTGTGTTTCAGGCCAGCGTCCAAACTGAGCCAGGAATATCCTAATGGATCCCTACAAAAACGCAGTGCGAGTGTTGATTTTTAGTCGTTTTTTAATTCGGCTTTTTGAACCTAAACTGGCAGCTGGTTCCAACTGAAGGCTCTGCCTCCCATTCTGCTTCTACAAACTCTACGGAAACACAAGTAGACCTGCAGTTTGAGGCAAAATGTTCTGCTGGGAGAATATCCAACTAGCTCTCTCAGATATAAGTTGGTAAATTTCTTAGGGACGGTCACAGTCACCCCCCCTCCCATAGCATCACGCTCTCCTTTGAGGGGGCGTGTACCACTCTCCCACATTTGACCCTGATTTGCCTCCACAGGTCATCTCAGTAATGAGCCGGGGGTCCCTCTGGCTCTCACTAATCAGGCTCTGAGGCGTCCCATCCTCTGAGCCCAAAGTGGCCCTCTGCCTGCCATCTGGCCTCCATGCCTTCTCTGTCTCCACTCTGCCGGCGATTTATACCCTCCTGAGGTGTTTCGCCTTTTAACTTTCACATAATTGGTCCCCAGATGCAACAAAGATGTGGAGGCCAGTTTTTATTAGTTACCAAGCAGGGGTCACTGTTTTTGTATGGCTTTGTCTCCTCTGAGCTGCCGGGCCAAAAATTAGGCTGCCTGTGAAACGTCATGGCTCCATTTATGGTGAGAACGAAGGGTAGGATGGAACTGGATATGTGGAGCTTGTGGTGTGTGTGCAGGGAAAAAGAACAAACCAAAATCTCCCTGTTTCCTGACTGTTCTTCAGTGATTTACGGAATGTACTGTCAGGTTGTAAATGAAACAGGAAATCTGAATTAATTTCATGTAATCGTTTGGCTTTTTGTTTCCAGGAAGAGAATTAAATCAATGCATTAAGCAATATTTGGAACTTGAACCCCACTCCTGGTATGGTGAATCATAATATGCTGTATTATGATATGACTTTTTATTTGATGTAATATGACTTTTTCATTCCAATTAAAGAGAATTGGGTGTCTCAACCCAAACTGTTAGGAAGAAAGGGATGTTTTAGGTTAATCATTTCTAATTCATGTCAGAAATACTCGGTGCCCATGTAGAAAGTTATAAATATGCCTTCTCTTTAATCAGTGTAAAAGTCCTACGAATTTAAACAAATAAAAGTTTTCCATTATATAATTTGTAATTGATTTCTTTGTCGGTATACAGTTCTTAAATTATCATGTATATTCTATTTTTAATTTAAAGCTGGTGCTTATTTTTGTTCAGGCCAAATCTGGGACCTCTACATCACCGGTCTGCTGCAGGTCCTTGACGTGGCATTCAAAACAAAGATGGCGCCTTTACTTACAGTGTCTTTGAGTTTGGAAACTTTTTTGTCAGTGGATTAAGTTTTTAATCGGGGCATTTTCCTCAAAGAGAGGTTTTTCCGTGTTTCTGAGTGTGTTTTCGGCGGGAGGCCGTAGAATGAGCGGCTGGGCCGGTTTTTCTGAGGAGGAGCTGCGGAAAATGCAGCAGAAAGGTAACGCTGATCAGAGCCCTGGTCTCAGTGGGTCATGTTTTATCATATGTCATCACCACCAACTTCCAGTAATCGTTCCGGCATTTATTTTCAGACTCAGCTTTACCAACAGCGGCTTCCCGTGGTCGGAAGCCGCCTGCAGCGAGCCGTAACCGGCAGCAGATGCAGCGGGAGAGGGCCCTGCAGTTAGCCGCTCAGAGGAGCGCAGGGGCCGGGCCCCCTGGCCTCCCGCCGGAGCAGCAGCTCGCCCAGCCTCCCCCCAACGAAGAACGCCTGCCCGCATCCCGACCGGGACCTCCTGCGGTCCGGCTGGAGGAGAAGCAGGAACCGGCTGCAGAGGAGCAGACACCAGTGGTCAAAGAGCTGGAGAAACAGGAGGTGGAACTGTTAGTAAGATATTTCTACCGTTTTTGCCGCACAGACTTCTACTCATTTTCTAGAAGGTTTAACGGTCTGATTTGGTCTGAAGGCAGAGGTGTTCCAGACAGAGGTACTACTTTTATTCAAGTTAAAGTAAAAAGTATTGCTGAAAAAATGACTTAAAGTGGAAGAGTTTTGAGGCCATCCATCCCCTGATTGAACAGTCAGATTGCCTTAAAGAAAAATACAGATATGACCAAACAAAACCATTTAGAGACTGAAACAAGAAGTTGAATCCTTTAGTCAAGAAATTTCCGGTCACCTTTTGTCCACTCAGGTCAGTGTTTGTGCTTATAAAGCAAAAAGTATTAAACACTTATTTCTATTATAACTGATGTAATGAAGCTCATTTACTGAAAATTAGAGTTGCATTTTGTAAGCGGTTTCTGGTTGTTTTTCCTCTCAGGCGTGAAAAGACACGTTTGGAGCAGCTACAGCAGGAGCAAAAAGTCATAGAGGAGAGGAACAAACGCAAAAAGGCCCTGCTGACAAAAACCATTGCTGAGAAGTAAGTGCAGCTGGATGCCAGCATGCCATCGGAGCTAAGCAGGACACAGAATTCATGCCAAAGGTCTGTCACCGTCTGCAGGTCCAAACAGACTCAGGCCGAGGCCGTGAAGCTGAAGAGGATCCAGAAGGAGCTGCAGACGCTCGATGACATGGTGTCCAACGATATCGGCATCCTGAGAGAAAAAATAGAGCAAGCCAGCTGGGACTACTCTGCAGCCAGGTACAGACACACACCAGCCTGCGTACGGCTCTCAGCTCTGAAATGGGTGAATTCACAGATATTAGAGGATCAGATTTTCAGCCACGCAACTTAACAAAAGCAACTAAAGATAATCCTGAACTGAAAGCTGGAAAAAAGAAACAAAAAGTGTACAGAGAGAGCAAAGATTTGCAATAATGACCCAACAGCATTTGGTAGGATTAAAGACTCATCATTGTGTCTTTTATTAAATGATGGATTATTACATATTATCATTATGTTTTGGAAAATCTGAGTTCGTCTTAAATCTGTCTGACACGTTGGGGTGGGAGCAGCAAAAGGCGCTAAAGAAAAACAGCTGGAAGCAACACGTAGCCAATGTGGTGGGTAACATGAGCGGGTGCTCAAAGAGCACCTAGAGAGGCAGAGTCTCTGAGGCGTCAGCCATCCGAGGAGTCTTTGAGTCTTCGTTTATCCAAGGATTCAGAGAACCTGAATCCCAAACTGGAAACCTGCAAACCTGGATGCTGTTTCAGGCTTTAGAGCAACACGTTTCTGGATGTTAAATGATGTCACTGCTCGTCCTGCTGCCTGAGCAGCTGAGCTCTTCGGTCCTCTCCCCTGCTCCTCAGCCTGGGACGCTTTGACTCTGTTTCCAAACAGCGGACAAATGGCGTCAAATCTCATAAGCTTGCCTGCCCCATCAGCCCAGAAATAAGTGTGTTAAGTTATCAAGATGGATGCGGAAGCTCATTTGACTGAGTGAGGCCAAACAGACCAAAGCTCGATTTCCATGCCCGTAAAACTATTTTCAGGCTTCTCTTTTATGCCAGGCTTCTCACATTTTGGCAGATCCCCCAACATTTTTACAAATATTTTATCTCTGAGTTTAAGTGCCTTTTTCTTGTCACTGCAGGTCCTCCTAAAGCAGCGTCTGAGTGGTTCCTCCGGTCACTGACTGGACGCTGCCCTCTGCAGCTCAGCCCCAGAACTCATGTGTTTGTGCTCCACCAAACAGACTCTAAAATGTAGTTTTCCCTCTTTTCTCCTGATAGTTGTTTATATTCCACTCTGCCTTTAAGCTGTTTGTACATTTTTTTAATGCACATGGGGTCAAACATGAGGTAGTTTTGCATAAAAAGGCTTGTTCCTGCTTGGCTTTAGCAGGCGGTTTTCAGGCTGTAAACACAGCTTTGTGAAGCAGAGGGCTGTGACCTCGCCGTGTTTGTGTAACTGGGAAAGAAGCCGGCCTTTACAGAGATTTAATTAGCTGCTGAAGTTTGACTTTCCAACATGTTTGACTTGGTCTGCTCTGACATAACCGGCACTACTCCGAGATTTTACTTTTTTAACTTGTGTTTTGTGGATTTAAGGCAGGGTATTCAAATCAGATTAGTGTCAGTCTGCTTTTGATTTTTTTCTGCTGTCAGACTGTTCAGTTTCAGCTCCACAAAGGAGAGGGTGGGAGAGGGGTCATCCACATATGATTTCCAATCCTCCATAAACTGTGACAGAAAGCAGGTTGGAACGAATGAAAGGGATGAATTTACTGGGCTCCGTTGCAGCGTGTTTCCTAAAATGAGCCTCTCCTCAGACATAAACAGCAGTCTTCTCTCGCTGCCCGGTGTGTCCCGACAGAAAGCGCTACGAGAAGGCCGAGGCCGAGTACGTGGCGGCCAAGATGGACCTGCACAGGAAGACGGAGGTGAAGGAGCAGCTGACGGAGCACCTCTGCGCCATCATCCAGCAGAACGAGCTGCGCAAAGCCCACAAACTGGAGGAGCTGATGGAGCAGCTCCAGCTCCAGGAGGAGCGAGCCGAGCCCGGGGAGGTACAGGCCAACGGGGACCAGGGGAAGGGCTCTGTGGAGAGTCGGGAGGGGACGGTGCAGTCCACCCAAAACTGTAGAGCTCCAGCCGAGCCGCCTGTGGAGGAGGAGACGGGGGGAAGGGACCAGAGGGAGGCCACAGGAACTTTGACAGCCGAACAGGACTGTGAAGGGGTCGAAAACTGTGTTCAGGGGGGGACGTCGGCCTCCTGATTCTCAGAGGAGACGGGGGAGGCATCCATGTCCTGAGCGGCATCCTCAGATGTGACAGACTGATGGAGACTGAGTTTTATAGACAATCAGGTGGAGAGGTGTCATACAAACACACACCCTGACTCTCATGCACTACAACTCACCTTTTTCTGCACGCAGGAGAAGGTTTGGAGCAAAAGTCCTGATCGGCTCTCACTTCTGTAAAAGTATCAAAACACTAACGCAACAACACTGGCTCATCCCTTGAGTTAGGGGCCTTTTTACGGCCTGAACGATTCATAGCTCAGAGTTAAGTTGTTTAAAAAAGGAAAAGAACACATTCCTTTGAACACGCTCTGCTCCAAAGACAGAAAATGCAGAAAAACTCTGAAATAGCTTCAGAAAACTGCAGAACTGCTGCTCAGGAACACTTTAGAAGTTGAAGACATGAGGCTGATCAGGAGTCCAATGTATGACAAGTCATTCCCACTTCCAGTGCTTTGAAACCTTCAAGCTTTTCACTCATTTATGCTCAGGACATCCAACTGAGGTAATCTGTGATTAAGATTGTTTCCGTTCGATCCTTTTTCTTCTATTATGGGACCCAGAAGGTCCTGTGTGAGTCCTGGTGCTGTCTAAGTGAGACAAAAACAAAGCCATGAGTCTCACCCGGCCTCAGCCGGGTCGGGCTGATCTGAGAAACGATGCTCATGTGGCGTCGGTTACTGTACCTCAGATTCTCCGTCTTCTCAAAAGGCCCAGACGACGGAAGGTGGGTGCCGTCTACTTCCTGGACCGTTCCGGCTGGTGTGTTTGGAACTAGGAGGGTTCTGGGGTGTGTGGGGGCTTCCAGCTGAATGGGGGCACACAGCTTTCGGGTCCTCCGGCCGGACAGGACGGGACGCTCTGGTTTATCCGGGCGCCGCTCCTGGAACAGAAGCGGGGTGAATGTCGGTGTGTGTTTCTGACCTGCAGCCTGTGGTCAGATGGAATTTACACGCCGGCCTCTGCGGGTCTCCCTCTGCTTTTTCAAGTCCTATGTAAAGCTTTTACGGAGCTCCGGTCACATCTGGCCGTCTGAAGCAGGGGCCGTAAAAGCAGCCTTTTTAATTAGTTGTGAGGCAGAAGCCCAGAGAGGCCGAGCGACCACCACCCGTCTGCCCCCGTTTGATGTCCAGATTTCTGACCCTCAAACCAAGTCCTGCCGACTTCATTATGTCATTTCCAATCATTCAGCATTTACATGGAATCAAAAAGCAGAAACTAGCCAGACGCCCCCCTGTGATTCTCACATGCTGCTTATGATGCATTTACAGCCCAATAAAAATATTTAACTTTGGACTTTTTTGTTTGATTGGTGGAAAACTGCTGACTGATCATTTAATGGAAGAAAAAAGATCTCTTCATCTTTTCTGTAATTAACTGACGTTGTTTTCCTCTAGATTTGCCTCATAAATAACAATTTCTTTATCGGACATCCTCAGATGTGTGGCAGCCAAAACTACTCACACAGGAGCTGGAAGAAGTGTGGACACTTGTTTATGTGCAAGAGTCCTGAACAGAAGTATATTTCTATAACAGCTGCAGAATTCCTGAAATCTGCAGATATGAACTTGCAGCAGAAGCAGAGTGAGTGTGATTGTGCAGCTTAAAGTGAATCTCTGCTCTGAGCTCCTTCATTCTCCAGCACAGCCTGAACCCTCTCCAACCAGCTCTGGGTCCTTTCTTTAAGGAGTCTTCAGGAATAGTTCTCCAGGCTTCTTGAAGGACATCCCAAAGCTCTTCTTTGGATGTGGGCTGCCTTTTGTTCCGTTCTCTGTCAGATGATCCACACTTCTTCAATAATGTGGAGCTCCAGCTCTGGGGAGGATTCATCCCTCCATCAGACCTGTTGCCACTGATTTTCAGTCCACTTCTTGTGTCACTGGGCAGAGCTCAGCCTTTTCTCCCTGTTTCACTTCCTTTAGAATGGCTTCTTCACTGAAGAGGCCATCCTCTCTTCCTTTGTGGAGAGCCCTGAGTGGTCAGGCTTTCTCCCTCTAAAGTTGAAATGATTATAATGATCTAATTTTTATGCTCTTTTTCGCCTTTGTGTGAGTGATAAGTACAGGAAAATGAGGACGGTGTTCAGATTAACGCCTCCAGCCAGCCTCAGGCTGGAGAAATGGCCTGTGCGGTGGAATATATTTCCACCAATGAGGGTGAGCGTGAGCGTGAGCGTGCTGGGTCTGACTTCAGAGAGTGGCGGAGCGTTTATAAAGTAAAGTGTGATTTATGTGGAGCTGGCGTCTCCCGACAGGCCGAGAGAGACCCTGAAACCTGAGAAGTCCCAGAGCCAAAGAGGAGAGCCCGAAAAAAGAGGAGTCAGGCTTTTGATCTGGACCAGCCGGGCTTCGCCAGCCGAACTCTGGACAGAAAACCTCTCGTTTTAAGTGGATCGTCATCACTCTAACCTCCCGTTTCTCAGCACAAAGCTGAATTTCCGTTTTGCAGAGCCAACTGGAACATTTCTGATGAAGACCTCAACTAAATGAAAGCAGGTTCAGCTTTTGAAAAGGCTTAAATGTGTTTAGAGGAGCTGTTAGCGGGACTCTACTCCTCCAAGTGAAGATATTTATTTACTACAGAGTCAAAACAGGTTCAGCATTTATTTCTTTAACATAAACAGTAAAAAAAAGGCAAATATCCGAGCCGGGATCCTGGGCCCTGAAGCAGCCAGTTTCTTTATCGTTCTCTGGGCCTTTTAATAATGAGTGTGCACGCGGTCGTGCACGCGCTCTGTAAACTCTCCCTGTTGTTTTAATCAGGAGCAGATCTGCTTCTTCATGTCGGATCACCGCAGAGCGTTTACAGTTACAACATTTCAGCCTGTGCGCAACAATGGCAACAACAGCCGTAAAGCGGAGGGGGGGGGGGGGGGGGGGGGGGGGGGGGGCCGGGAGCGGCCTGGGCCCGGGATCAGGCCCCGGCCTGCGTTGGGGGGGACCCGACCTCCAATCCCGGGGAAAGCCGGTCCATCCACCCCGTTAGGTGATGTTTCACTAGCGTCTAACGCAACCAAATTACACTCCGAGAAAAGCTCTTTACGGCTCTGTTTTTTTTGTTTTTTTTATACACCAAACTGGCAGAATAAGTGTTTTTAGACCCCAAAGCTTGTCTTCTAAAAAGAAAGCTCACGTTAGATTTTAAAGAAAAAGAAAGTAAAGAAAATGTCGGATATTTATAAATCTGATTCTTGCTCATCGTTATTAATTTATGTCGCGTTTTTTTAAATTGTATTCATTTATTTTGGTCACTGATTCCAGCTCTTGCGAGTTTAAAACAAAAATATCTGAATGAATATTCGTTTTTAAACCCACAAAAACATAGGTTTCTCGCCACGATTAAAATATTTAATCTATATTTAATCTAAGAATGTCGAGTGTTACGGATTTAAAAAAGATGGAGTGAGCTGCTAACATGCGAGACAGAAATGTTGAGCGTGTTTTCTCCTCCTCCTGGTGGGTATTTACAGCTGGAAATGAAAAGCAGATGACGGCGAAGTCTGATGCAAATAACAAAAGGTCTAATTATTTTCTGCATGTTAAACACGACCTCATTCCGCCACAGGTCAGGTGTTTTCTGCAGCTCCGCAGCTTTACGGCTGCTGCCGTCCGGAGGCCCCTGACGGCCTCCCAGCCTCCTGCACGGCCGCAATCAGCCCAGAGCCTGCTGTCTTTTTTTGGGGGGGGCTGCTTGGGGCCCATCAGAGGTCCCGGAGCACCCGCTGCAATCAGGGGGAGCGTGTCCCCAGCACGCGGCTCCTGGGCAGGAAGTGGTCAGCATCTCCTCCGACAGGACAGGGGCCCTAAACGCAGCACCAGTCAACCAGTCACCAGCCACCCCCCACCCCCAGCGCCCTCCACCCCCAATCAGACCCCGAAAATGTGTCTTTCTGCAGTTTTTCTTCTTTCAAATGGGAGAAAAAGCATCAGAGTGTCAAACATCGAGAAATGTCGTAAATCTAGAAGTAATGAGAAACATTTCAAAGCGCTTTCAGCTCCTGCAGCTCCAGCTGAGGACGAAACGGGACGCATCACGCCCCAAAATGATACGCTTCTTGTGTCTCCAGCGCAGCAGCAGCTTCAGAGTCGCAGCTCGGGAGATATGCTGTCAGAAAAGGTCTGGATGTGATCAGGGGGAGCCCAGCTGTCAGAGGCAGCTCCTGGGACTCCGGCCGCTCACCAAAAACAGCAAAAATAGCCAAATCACGCCGTTTTTTAGGCTCCACAAACATCACGAGCCACACGGCAGCATTGTTCCATTTTCAGCCAAATAGATCAGAAAAAGTGGGATGCTGCGTAAATCCTGACATCTAAATTCACAGATTATAATCTGTGAATTTGTGAAGGCGATGGGTGCCAGAGGGCCAGTTTCAACTGTTGGGAATTGATTGGGATTTTTTAAAAATTCAATCAAGTCGAATGGGGAAAATGGTGCTTGTATTTTGTTCCAGATGATATCTACAAGTATTTATTATTTACGTCTTATCTATTTATAGGTAGGTATATATATATATATATATAAATAAACGTAAAACAGTTTGAAAATTAATCATAATAATCTGAATGAATATTGTATTTTGTTCGGTTGGTTCTGTGACTTTTTCTGACACCGTGAGCTGTTAAATTAAAAAAAAATCCAGAAATATTTTCCCTTTCTGTTTATATTTTTACCTAAAAATTCTAACTCGTACATAATGATAATTAACAGTAACAATTTACATGTTTAAGATTTAGTTAAAATACTCATTTTTATTTATAAATATTGAAAAAAAATATTCTATAACGTCCAAAAAGCTTTTCAGTGATAAACAAATATGATAAATGATTGTGAAGCAGAATTGCTTTGAAGAATTAATATAGATTCAAATACAATTTATTCTATCGGGAAAGGAGAATCTAAACAAGCCATAAGAAGATTCTTGAAAACCAGAGTTGATTCAGGACTTTCTGGGACTGTAAAGCGGAACCCAGCCGAGAGCAAAACTGAGTCCGAGAGCCAGGAATACAAATCCCTCTGTCATGAAGACGGAAACATTTCTCCTCATTAACTTCTAAACTTCTCCCCTGCGCAGTCACCCACCAGGTCCTGGTCCTGGACCCGGACCAGCCCGGGACCGGCCCCGAACGGCCCGGGCCCAGCGGCCCGCGGCCGGGAGAGGGGGGCCAGCGGCCGGCCTCCTCCACCGGAGCTCTGCAGGGATTTATGAGCCGCCTCGTTTAAACGCGGATCAGCTGAGGCCGGGAGATTTATCGAGGGAAAATCTGAGCCCAGAAGTTGCCAGTCCGACTCGGGGAGACGCTGATCGAACCGTTTAATGAAGTGTGAGTTTGGGATTGGGGATAAACTCGGTCAAATATTATTTGCCGAAGATGAAATGAGACATACAACTTTTTACAAGTAAAAAAAAAAAAACGCTAACGTTGCCCTAATCTGCATTAACCAGCTGTTTTATAATTGTAATCCAGTTTTTCTGAAATTAGGACTAAACTGTTACGTTTCTTCTCCAGTTTGTCCCAAACCATTTTACAGAGGTTCTGTAATCTGCTCTGTTCTGCAGCCGTTTGGGTGAGTTCCACACAGAGAGACTCTGTTTGCATGATTTACATCTCTAAAACCCTCAGGAACCACCTCTCCGTGTCTGTAATGGCCGGGCCGTCCGGGGGGCTTTAAATCAGCACATTTAGTTGATGGACGAGCCCAAAATCTTCTGAAAGGTGCTGGATGTTTCAGCTCGGAGCCTTTTCCGGCCACCGCCGGCCCGGTGTGGTGGCCTTCTCCCCCCCCAGATGTTTGGACGTTTCCACGGGCCACGGTGGGGAGAAAACAGGCCACTTTCTCATGGAGCTCTGAACAAAGGATAGGGGCCCCGAGGAGAGGACTGAGACACGGGGAGGCCTTTTTCTCCCTCCTTTCTTTTCTTTTCTCTTTTTTTTGGCTCTAGCTGGCACCAGAGTGGACTTGTAGGCAGGAAAAGAGAATCTGGGGGGAAAACTAATGATGAAAAAGCCTACTCTACCCCTGCACCTTCATTAAATACATGGAAAGAACTAGAGAGCCACATCTGGATTCAATCTGCCTCTCTTTGATGGCATCAAGTGTTCTTTTCCCAGATCGGGGGGGAGTTGGAAGCTACGGGATGTCTATGGCAGCTCGGAGCCCGGAGTCGACTCCTGCCATCTGAACACATGACCCCCCCCCCCCCCCCCTACCGCCCCCCCCCCCCCCCCCACACACACACACACACACACACACATCACCTCACCTTTCCAAAGCAGAGCTCACAGAGCTGGGGGCTCTCTGATGGAAACACTTATTACTCCACTCACAGCCGGAGTTATTTTCTTCTTTTGCATATTCAGAGAAAAGCCTCAAAATATGATGCAAGGCTTTTTCTGCAAACGGTTCTGGCTCTCTGAACAAAAGCGGAACATTCGATCTGAGGCACTGGTGAGTGCCTGAGGAGGTAAACGCAGCTGAAAAGATCTGGCTCTTTTTTGTGCTGGTGGTGCATCTCGAGCGGAGCGTTTTCAGACTATTTAACTGATATGAGTCATGAAAATTCCCCTAAATCTCCAGTTCGGGGAAGATGCACTGTTGCAGTTTCAGTGTTCCGACCATTAACCACCCCCTCTGTTCAGATAAAGTCACCAGATGATGAACCCGGGGGCTCCGAGATGACCCTGCTCTGATCGGCCAAAACGCTGTGAAACACCAGAGAGCCAAACCTGGAGCTGCAGAGCCCCAAAAAGCTAAGAATGCTCCATTAGCAGATCAGAGTGGAGCCAGTGGAGGCTGAAGTGGTAGGAAACAAAAGGGCCAGAGCTTCTTCTGACATTTACTAGATTAATGATGATGATGAGCAGCGTGTCGGCAGCATCCTGATCAGCTTGTACTGTTTCTGTTCAAAAATGTCTCTCCTTCTTTAACCACTAAGCTGTTTTTTGTGTTTCTTTCTATCATTTTTGGTCCAGTTCTTGTAGCAAAGGCATTTTCAGAGGGATGTGTTTTTTCTCAACTCTGAGCTATGAATCATTCCGGCAGGAAAAAAGACTCAAGGGATGAGCCAGTCGTGTGTCAGACAACTTAACAAAGTTTCAATCAGATCTTTAGGCTCTTTGTTACCAGCAGCCTGTCACAAAGACACATCAGTTCCTCCCATTTATTTAGCAGATGTGTGAAAAATGTAAAAGATAACGCCGTTTGACAGACAGAAAACAGGATTTTGAAGGCTGATTCCCAAAGAGCTTTTAGCTGGAAACTTGGCATATCTCAGCATGGTGGCAGTGTGTCCTTAAAACGTTTGAGGAAACTAGACAAGTGGAGGACAAAAGAAGAAATGTTGGGCCTAAAAAACTATCTACAGGAGATGAAGAGGATCTGAAAGTGGTGTCTTTAAGAAAGAGGAAAGAATCCAGCAAAGAGCTGACAGGAGCTGAGAGATGCATCTGGACCTTCAGCTGATCATCTCCTGTTGGACCAAGCCTCATCAGAAATGCTCTCCATGAAGGGGGGCTGTCAAGAAGCCATTCTTAAGGAGAACGGGACAAAAGGCAGCCCACATCCAAAGAAGAGCTTTGGGATGTCCTTCAAGAAGCCTGGAGAACTATTCCTGAAGACTCCTTAAAGAAAGGACCCAGAGCTGGTTGGAGAGGGTTCAGGCTGTGCTGGAGAATGAAGGAGCTCAGAGCAGAGATTCACTTTAAGCTGCACAATCACACTCACACTGCTTCTTACGTTCTGTTTCTCAGGTACATGATCCCCGAATGTGTGTATTTGGACTTTGAATGCACAATAACTCACTCGGTGAGCTCTCAGCTCCACAGGTCTGAGGTGGACCCAGCAGAGTTTTCTCAGGTGGCTCCTCTCGAGCTCAGACGCAGCGCATAGCTTTGCCACGTAATTACGGACCTTTAATAGAGTGTGTTTAAGTCGGGGTGCGCGTAATGCACACACACACACTCTCAAAGGGAGAGAGAGAGAGCAGGCGTGACGCCCTGCCTCCTCGCGCCTGCCTGTCGCTGATCAAGCCTCGCGCACACACGGAGCGTTGCGCATCTGGCCGTCAGCAGCAGCAGCAGCAGCTCTTCCTGCGCAGATGTGACTCCGCCAGAGAGGGTTTGCTAAAAAAACAACCCCTTCTTCCTTTTCAGAGGTTTGAAAAACTTTCCTCTGAGTTTGCCTCAACGCAAACGCGTCTCGCCCACCGCTGGATGGATTGGCTGTTAGGGGCCTGAGAGGAGCGAACTGTGGTGAAGTTTGTTGGAGCCTCCGCCCGCTCTGGATGTGAACAGACCCGCCTTCTGCTCGGAACGGCCGAGTGTGTTCTCCGGAGGCGCCTGCCTGTGCGCGCTGCATGCACGGATCTACTCGCCTGGCTCGCGGTTCTCCTCCTTCTCCCTCCTCTCAGCGCTCCGTTCTTTCCGCTGCCCCTCACTTGCGTCATGACTTCTAGCTATGCACATGTAATGGACAGGCAAGCCACGCTACCGAACCGCCTGGAGAGCCCGATCACGTCGAACCTGGACAACCTACAAGCCAAAAAGAACTTCTCGGTCAGCCACCTGTTGGATCTGGAGGAGGCCGGGGAAATGGTCGGGACCCAGGCCGACGAGAGCGTCGGGGAGACCGGGAGGAGTATGCTGGAGTCCCCGGGGCTCACCAGCGGGAGCGACACCACCCAGCAGGAGAGTAAGTTTAGGGCAGATCGGGAGGAGGCTGAGCAGTCTGGGACTGAGCTCAGGAACCACCGTTAGATCTTTTTCACATTAAAGTAAGCCTCTGTGGAGGGAGCGCATTCTCGGGCCGTTTCTGGGGAATCCATCAAATTTCACACAGATGTAGTTGTAATGACAGGCTGAAACTAAACTCATTTGTTTTCATTACACTCTGGCGTGTGTCCGCGCGCACGGAAGGAATCCTTCAGTGAGTTTTGGCAGTGCATCATCCCTGACGGCCTCCCCCTCCAAACGGCCATTAATTCACCATTAACACTTTGATGTCAGTGAGGTATGGTGCTGTTGGTGGACATGGTCAGTGAAGAAGCCTTACGAGTCAAACTCCGTGGGTAATAAATCTGCCGCTCACGGCTGTTGACCCAAACGAGGCCACATTTTTCATGCTCCGGGTTTTGATCTTGGGGGGGAAAGAGAAAACACGTTTTTGGAGCAAGTAAGGGGAGTCACATGACGGCTGCGCGGCGCACGATAGGACAGCTCTCCGTGTCCGTGTCGAAATTTATCCAAATGAAGATAGAATTAGGCTCGGCCTTGTGTGCGCGCAAAGCTCGGGCCGCGTTTGGAGACCTCAGAGACGAATACGTACTCAGATCAGCCTTTATTCGATGCGGTGATTTTTGTTTTCCTCTCCTGAATCCAGAGAAGGCTCCTCTCCGGACGCGGAGGGCCTGTCAGGGAGGGTCCTGGCTTTCATTGATAGCTGCTAATGAGATCAGTTGTTGACCACACTCGGGGCTGCCGAATGACGGCGATGATGATGATGGTGGAATGGCTTTGATTTGGCTCTTTTAAACACCAGCCGGCGGAGTTAATTAGAAGCTTTCCCGGAACAAACCGCCGCGCCGGCGCAGCGAGCGCGCCCATTAAAGCCACATTTCTGCTCCGATCTGGCTTCAAATGGGCCTGAGCGCACAAACTAGAGTCAAATAAAAGAAATATTCGGATTGCTATCTGCAGAAATATACGGAACTCAGAGACACCAATTTTTACACCATCCGCCTCAAACGGATTTAGAATTGACGCGATTTCCTCATTTTCAGGCGCCACATTTCCAGCTTTAAATCGAAATAATAGGAATCTTTGCCTGAAATATTAAAGGACGACAGAGACACATCTGGATAAATATTCAAAACATTTTTAGGTAGCTCTCTATTTTTTCCTAATTACGCACAATAAGACGCACATAAAAAAAAAAATGCTAAAGAGGGATTTTCCCTTTTCAGCTTTATTTAACGTCATCAGACTAAAGGAGAGCTTTTCCCATCTGCCTTCCTTTTAATGCTCCGAAGGCCTTCTCTCCCTCCAGCTTTCCAGCAAAAGTGGCTTTCAACCAAAGTTTGGAGCCGCAGCTGTTTTCTAACCAACTCCGAGTCAAAGGAGAGCAGAGCAGAGGAGCTCAAACAGGCTGCCATGGAGACATCTCCTTTATGTAAAGACTCCAGTTATTTTAGCTTTCCACTTTTTAGAATAATTACAGAAAACCTAGTTATACTTTTCTCTGATTTGATTTCCGTCCACGCTATGTGTGTGTGTGTGTGTGTATATATATATATATATATATATATATATTGCTTTTACTAAAAGAGGATAGGAATAATGATTTCATTAGTTTAATCTGTTGGTTTTCCACCCAGGGGCCCAGAGCCCCTCAGAGGGGTCATGAGATAAAGCCCAGAGGTCAAACAGCCATTAACAAGAAGTAAACACACATTTTCTCTTAATTATGACTGCACTCAAAGATTTCTCCAGTTTTAAATCTCAGAGAAAAAAGTAGAGAAAAAAAATCTGTGGATTGCAAACTCAGTCAAACAGGTTTTAATAAAAAAACTTCAGCTCACGTCCGACATGAAGTGAAATTAAAGCACACACTAAAAATCTGTGTCTCCAGTTTGTTTTTAAAACAGGAAATATAGCATTTTTAATTCAACTTTCCAAAATATTTTCAGTGCTTGTTCATTATTTTAATTATCGATTCTCTTGATGCACCGACAGGTCCTGAAAGTCTAAAAACCGGCTAGTTTGTGAAAACTCCTCCCTGCGTTAACCCAAACAGACCTGTAAAGTCCTCCATGTGGAGACACATTTAAAGCTGGGAAATGGTTGTTGAGTTGGCTGCTTTAAACCCAGCAGATAAGCAGAGTTGCCCCCCAGAAGCCAGCCTGGTGACGACAAAACAAACAAGCCGGCCGATGACAGAGGTGTGTGTTTGTGTGTGTGTGGAGGAAAAATCTTGGCTTTCAACGGCTTCGGCCTCATCTCACATCACACTTAAAAGACCAAACACAAACTCTTTCTTATTAATAAAAATGACAGAAAGCGCCAGCAGCGGACGGTAAAATTTGACCCTGCGGGTCAAACAAATATTTAAAAAAAGCAAAAATGTAATTGAAAAAGTATCAGACAAGAAGACAAAAATCATTCAAAGTATATATTTATACACACATTAGATATATAAAAAAAGGGTTTTTAGTTATTCTTTTTAAAAAATAATTTAAAGAGTCGACATATCCTCAGGTGTATATGCTCACACTAATTATTTCTGTTAGCTGTTCATATTTATGAATGTATGTTTTAAAAGTTTTCGGTCGTTTAACCCCACACACACATTAAGCCCCCTGTGGGATCATTAAACCTGTTTTGAATGCTGTCCCAAAGATTAACCCCCAAAATACGGAATAATTTCTTTGGAAGTGAGCGAAAAGTTGAATCTCTTCTGGAGGTCAGGGCCTTTTGTGTGGCTGCTGACGGCAGAGCCAGAGCAGCCGAGCTGATGTGTGATTAGCAGCGTTTGGCTTTTCTGTGTGAAAGTGTTCCTTTGTGGTTTGTTGTGCAGCCACAAGCAGCTTCCAGCACGCTGACGTTCAGGTGTTTGCTTATGTAGAACAGAAACAAAGTCACACAGCTCTCTCTTTCCCTGACAGAAGTCAGAATCCCGGCAGTCTGCCTTCATAAAGCTGGTTTCTATAGTTCTGCTCACCCTGAAGACCACCGCTCAACGCTGACCCTGATTCCTGACTGTATGTTAAGAAGTTACTGGACGTTATTGGAGGCTGAGCTGGGCTCTCTTGCACACCAGGCTGTGGTGTAACACCTCCCATCCCAACACGTGATAGTTGTGCAATAACACGCTTTAAAAAATGCTAAATGTGGCGTCTCAGGATTTCGGAGGGGAAAACGTCGGAGTGTAATGTTTTCTGGGGCTTTAAGATGGAGTCCTGTTCCCTTTTTCGGTCAGCCGGCAGTTCAGTGTGCGCAGGGTTCTGCTTCTCACTACGCGGAGGAAATCTATGCGCCTTAAAACTCTTCATCCTTTGAGTTTTTTTTTAACTAAAAGTGCTGCGTTTTGTGATGTGGAACAACGCGTTCTGCCAGGATTCAGACTACGGTTCTAATCGGGTCTCTCTTTGTCTGAAAGATGGGATATCTTCAGTTTGAGGCTGTGAGTGAGAGGGAGAGAGGCTGAACGTGGGCCTGAATTCTTCAACAAAAACCACAACCTAAAAAAAAAAAGCAGGTTGCTTGGAAAGAGCCGAACAAAGATGAGGTTCCCGTTAATTTTTGTTGCCTTTTTTAAAGCTTGAAATCTGTTATATGTATTTTTAAAAGCTGTTCCGTTATTTTAACTTATGCTTTGAACTTTTTTCGTGCTCGGAGACCTTTTAAAAGGTTTATTTTCCCTCGTTAAGGAAACGAAAAGGCTTTCTGGTGCCGTGTTTGTGATGGTGCCGTCTCCCTGTTTTTGCCCCGCAGATGAACAGATGAATACGGAAGAGAAGAAGAAGAGGAAGCAGCGCCGGAACAGGACCACCTTCAACAGCAGCCAGCTGCAGGCGCTGGAGAGAGTGTTCGAGAGGACGCACTACCCGGACGCCTTCGTCCGGGAGGACCTGGCCCGTCGGGTCAACCTCACCGAGGCCAGAGTCCAGGTACCCGCTGCCCTCATCCTGTACGGTCCTGTTTAGCTCCACTTTCCCCTCTTTTATCAGACGACAAACTCACAGTTTAAGAAATATTTTAAAGACTTTAATAACAGGGGGCTCAGCCACATAACCAGTCAAACCTACTCGGGGCATGGGGGAAAGTTTCTGTGAGCAGCTCCATTCCTGCTAAATGTTTGATCAGAGCAGCCACAGACCAGAACTAATTCCTGTCTGTCACATGAGGGAATGAGATGGAGTTAGTCCCTGCTGGTGAATAAGTCCTGGAACTGGAGAAATAACTATTTACGGCTTTAAAAAGTGCCCGTTAACACTAGATTACATTGGGTTTGTTCGAGTATGGATACTTTATTAAGGTTCTGATCCTAAAATGGACATTTTTGTTGTCCCAAACATTGTCATCTCGGGCTCAGTAAACTCACTTGGGCACGACGCTTTAGATTTTCACTTTCACTGCGACTATTGAATAAATCTCATAACGGAGAGGTCATTTTTTTAAAAAAACTGTCCGTTTAATTAGTGATAGTTAAATTAACTTTCAACTATTTTTACCCCAAATGTCCCAAATTCAATCGAATTTCTGAGCTCTTTCTGACCTAGGGTAGAAATCTGCTGCTGACTAGAAAACGAAATGCGGTCTAAAGTATGAACCAACACTTGAAAGCTAGATTTATATAAATATAGGATTTCTAGAAGGTTTAGGACCATATACTGAAGGCTCCCTAAGACAGGCCTAACGTCGCCCTTGTTGTGAAGTGAAGAGGCAGAAAAAAGGCTCCATTAAAAACACCCCCTCAAATCATCTGGTGACTCCTCCATAAACAGAATTAGTTAATAATCCCACTCTGAAGTGTTTAGCTTTAGAATTAGGCACCTCAGAGGGGGCTGATAAGAAGTTTTGGGCCCTTAACAGAGCTGATCTTTTAAACGGTTGCTGATAAGGAGCAGGCCGCTGGCAGGGGACCGTGATGGGGAAAGTGGGTGTAATGATGCAGCTCTCAGATCAGCGATAAGCTGCGCGTGGGGCGGCTGGACGCCGTTAGGCTCCTTCTCCTAAATACAACCACTAAAACTAAACAGAGCTGACGGAAGCATTTGTTGAATAGCTTTTACTACATAACTGAGCAGAGAAAGCTGCTCACACGTTTATTTCAGCAAAGAAATAATTTGTTAATCCTCCAGAATAATAGTAAATTAAACTTGAAATGATTTAGCTTTATTCATACCAGATGCTCTGATTAAATTCAGAGTATCGTTTTCAAAAAGTCTGTGTTTATTGTTAGTATTTAATCACTTTTGTGCTCAACATTTCGTCTTTTTCTTTGAACATTTAAAAAATGTGGAAACCAAATGAAAAGGCAAAAACAGGGAATGAGTGTGGTTTTAGGAGGACGCCGTAGGAGACAGTGCCGCTCGGCTGCCCCCCCCCCCCCTTCCCCTTGGCAGATCTCCAAAATTATTGTCTCCTTCCTTGTTTGTTTGTGTGCGACAACATCCATATGAGACCCACTTGTGATCTGGATAGCATTATTAAGGAAGCGGTGTCAAAGCCATGCAGTTTAGATAAAGTTATCTCCCTCCTCCCCCATCATCTTCCTCCTTGATGTGAGCATCTATGGCCGAACCGAGATGATGAAGGATCACAAAGCAAAAAATCTCTTCAGGTACCATGTTGTATTCACTCCCCGTCTTTCCTCACTGAAGAGTCACTAAACTTAAGTTTCGAGAAGTTAAATTTTAAAAAGATATACACAGATTCATCTTTACCCTCCACCAATAGGAATTTACATCCAGGCACATGTTGGAGTGAGCAAATAAAAAGGACACCTTTCCTGCAGAGAGGGCTGGCTGGGTAGAATCGGGCTCTCTGTAGGGAGGTGGGTGAGAAAAACCTGGTAACTGTGCTGCTTTGGAGGCTTTTGTCAAACATTTCACGCTGTTGAGCATCATGTGTACTCGGGTTTCACTTTAAGGCAAACAAAGGCATTATTCTGAACACATCTGTTGCTCTGAGAGCTCTAGACGGCATATTTACTGCTTTGTTTTCATTTTCTTTCAAGCTAAACATCCTGATGGATTCATCAGAGTGCAGCGAGTGTGGACCGAGGCAAAAACAATAGCTAGTTGGTCTCTGGGTGGCTCAGAAAAACAAGTGAAGCTGCCGCCCGCCTTTGTGTTCTTTAAATCCCGACTGCTGGTTAAGTCAGCTGCTGGAATCTGTGAGGAGCAAAGATAAGCGAGGTGTCAGTTTGCGTCTGATAAACAGGACTGGAATCTGGCACGGCAAGGAATGGGACTGCATTTCCTGTGTCTGGATGCTCGACGCACAGCTCGGCGAAAGTATTTGTTCTGTGGGCAGTGTGTGCGGAAAGGAAATTGTGATGCTGGAGTGAGAGAAGCTGCACATCTGTGATTAATGTGTAGCAGAGAGCGATGCAGAAATCCTTTGATAAAAGAGACTTTGGGCTCATTCCTGAGGCCGTGCGTCAGCGGGCAGCGAGGCCCCGTGAGCGCCCACAGCTTCTAATAATGGATTTGATTTCACAGCGAGGAACAACATTAGCAGCCCCCCGAGTCTTCATCATCTGCTCAGGGAGGGGGGCCAGGGGGGCTGATGAGGGATGGACGAGGTGAACTAAAGATGAAGGAAGTGTGGGTGTGTGAAAGAGTGTGAGGATGCAGATGTGGTGACTGTAAATCTCTTTGCTGGAGTTTTAAAACTTCAATGTTCTGCTTTCTTTTTCTTAACAAAGATGATTTCTGTGGCCTCGATTCGGTCATTTAACTAAATATTTGGGGCAGGAACCCGGTGAGGCAGTTATGTGCCGGGTATTCGGTTACACAACGCCTAAACCGGTGCTGGCAAGATGGCTTCAAAAGCTTTTTGTCTTTTTAAAAAGTTATGTTCTACCCACTCAAACCGACTGCAGCCCAAAGCGACGGGATTGGTTTGTTTAGACGTCGTGTGTTCTTGTTTTGTCTGAGGCGTTGTGTCAGCTGTAGGTTCGCGGGAGAGGGGTTTCTGATGTCAAGATGTGCGATCAGCCTCTTAAATCCTCTCCTGTCCACGCAGACATTTGTTTGAGACATTGTTTTCTTATCAGTACTGTGAAAATTGCTGCACACAGATGGATGGAAGGGTGGGCACATTTATTCATCCCAAAGGAAGTCCAGTGGCTTAACATACACTCACTTATCACCAATTTATCGGCAACAAAGGCTGACATTTGATAAATGTTCTAATTTGTTTGCTTTGATAAAATAGTCTTTTAAAAAGATCAGATCAGAAATCCTCTAAACTGATGGTAAAACCTTGTTTTCAGAGCCACAGCGGCCCCATTGTCGTTGCTGTGGTTGGCTGCAAATAATTAAATAGAAATAAGACTGTTTTATTCATGTGCATATTTCTTGATTTCAGCTGCTCAGACAGAAACATGGTGATGACATCGCCGGGGTATTATGTATTCTCAATGGGAAAGAAAATAGCCAAAGCAAGTGTTAGCAATCTATAACCCAAACTCAATACGATAGAACCTCCCCTGATTTCAAATTAAAGGAGGATAAAACTGCTGTGTAAAGCTGCCAGTTACTATTTGTTTCTGCACTATTTTGCCTGTGTATCGTATTCTCCTACTTTGAAGCTCTGCATTAAATTAAAGTGTTTGATGCCTGATAAAAGAGGGGTTCCTGACCGTAAAAGCACTCAGACTCACATTTCACATTTTAAAATGTCGAACATGGAAGTGGATTGAAGCTGTTTGCAGATGCGATGGCCCTCTGAAGGTGGTGCCCTCTCATTGCCCGTGTGCTGTCCTTCCAGGTTTGGTTTCAGAACAGGAGAGCCAAGTTTCGCCGGAACGAGAGGGCCATGCTGGCCAGCAAAAACGCCTCTCTCCTCAAGTCCTACTCGGGAGAAGTGACGGCCGTGGAGCAGCCCATCGTGCCCCGCCCTGCACCGCGCCCCAACGACTACCTGTCCTGGGGCAGCGCTGCCCCCTACAGGTGAGCCTCCTCTCCAGTTTGACCTCAAATCTTTACCCCCGAAAGCACTAATTCTACATTTAGACTGGTCTCTGGGGTGTTCCACTCTAGGGTCCTACTGTTTTTCCATTGTAGTTGGTCCATTTGCTACTTGAGAACACAAGTGTGCCTTTCAGGGCCTCTAAATGTAGAAATATGTGCCTTTGGGTCCAGCTAGTAGTCATAATGGGCACATCAATTGTGAATATACTCCTTTTGTGCCCCTATGTTTGACAGTGTAACTGTTTATTTACTTTACCATTTAATCTGATCTTGCAGGACAAATGTTATATGAGCAAAAAAAAAATATTTCAGATAATTTACATGTATCTGTAAAGTCACAACAGTAGAGACCGTTTTCTTTAACAGACAGGTAAAAAATTATTTGGGGTGAATGAAAGAATAAGAAAAAGAAAGGGATGCCGGTGCTGTTGACATAAAGCTGAGCTTAACAGACTTCAGACACAGAGGAACTTGTGACCGGCTCTGAACCAGCCTGAGCTCACACAGATCCTACGCACCGCAAACAAACCCAACAACAGTGTGTCACAGCAGAAAGAGACAGACCAGTAGATGAGAGGAGGCAGGGGAAGCGGCACAGAGCGAGTTTGAAGGGTTTTCTGACTCATCTGTCCACCAAGTGACGTGTCAGCTCTCAGGACGACAGCTGGCCACAGCACCTGACGGCTGCTGGGATTCTTAGTTTAACTCTCTAATCGTGCTGCTTCTCGCCGGTTTTTCCCTTCTCCCTCAGCCACAGACGGCTTGGGTTTGGAGTTAATAGCAGGTGGTTGGCGTTAGATGCTTAAAATACACGGTTAGGGTTTGACAAGTGCACATTTTAAAACTGGTGGGCCTCAGTTCCCGTCAGAGAATGACGGTGACCCGCTGCCTTTCAGCTGTGCCGGTCCGCTGGGATGGAGATGTTTTCCAAACAGGGAAATGTATCCGTGCCCAATGAATCCCTGCAGAATATGGAACACTTACAGGTTTCTAATCTACTGATTTCAGTTCACAAACAGCTTTTTTGTTGTTGTGCCGGATGAGAAAATAACCAGATAGAATGGCTGTAAAACCCCGAGTGCCGAGGACGGCCGGTGGCCCCATTCCGAGCGGGAATAATCTGGTCTTTATCAGCACGGATTCAAACCGTTTCCCCCTGAGACCGGCAGACTTGTGGTCATTCCGCTCATGCTCATGTTTTGCTGGAGTTCACGCTCCAAGCCGACACAGTCGGCGCTAAGAACGGCTTAGGATTTGAATTTCCCCTCCGATACAGCCGGAGCTTCTTTTGGCTCCGGATTTAACAATCAGGCGAAGCACCGTGTCGCCGTCCTGCTGCAGAACATCAGATCAGAGCTCAGTCAGCACATGTTAACACCCCCCGATGCCTCGCACACCCTGCCGGCCCTCTGTTATTCTTTCATTTCCTCCCGCTCTGCTACCTGAACACGCCTCTCACCGTTCCTCAGAAAGCCTTCGTCTCTTTGATCCACCTGAGCTGGAGCTGCCTGCAGGTCAGCCCCGCCTCCTGCTCACGGCGCGAACCAACCCTTTTCTTCTTCTTCTTCTTCTTCTTCTTCTTCTTCTGCAGTGCCACGAGCAGAATCCCACTGGTGTCAGATCCAAGGCTCAGATTGTTCTGTTCTGAGGATCTTTGCCAGCCGGCTTTCGCTCTCTGCTTGGAGCTTTTTTTCACATCATTTATTATTTCTTACCCTCATTTCAAAGAAAAACCTCTTTTCAATGACGGGATGCCGTGTTACTTTCTTATCCTATCTGTTGTAACTGTGTGAAAAGGCTTTTCCTGAATAACTGCTCTTTGAGGAAATGAGCACTCTTTTATTTAAATGATGGATTTTAGACTAGCCTAGCGTCCCGCCTCAGCCCCTCTGTGACATTTCCCCGCGTGCTGCCTCACTGTGTTGAATGAAAACACCGTTTTGCTCGCTGTCCCGTCCTGTGACCCCCCCAGACGAGGCGATAATGTGAAAACAAACCGTGTTAAATCCGCCGCTGACCCCCGCGACCCCTCCGCGCTGCGCTGTCCCCGATAATGAAGGCTCCACTGGGCAACATTTTTTGTGACTCCGGTTACATTGGTCACGATTTACAGTAATCCTCTGTTATGAAAGCGGGGATGAAATGTCAGACCCTGCGGCCGCCGCTCAAACTCTGAGAGGTTTTTGGCCCGATGCAGGGCGGGGGGCGGGGGGGCTTTTGTGATCCAGGAATAATGCTATGTGGTGCTAACACTTCACTGTATATTATCCTGAAGCTGGTATCCGATGCCGGAGGGGGGGCCAGTGAGAGTGCCACAGAAAATGCTGCCCTCAGAGAACAAGTATGCACTCACTTTACTACTCTGCCTGTTTCCTGTTGTCTTCCCTCTGTGTTTGTACATGTTTAGCTTTGTCCGTAGGACCTTTTTTTTTTCCCTGCTGACTTTTTGCAATTTAATCCGACGTTCAGTGTCAGAGTCTTTGTATCCTCTTGATTATTTCTGTAGGCAGAAAATCAACCTGTTCAACTACACACGGCCAATAAAAAGCCCCACCTCAGCGTTTGAGTGGCTCAGAGTAAGGAGTTTTATGGGAGACAGAAAAGGAGTCCCAACCCCACGAATGCAAATCCAGTGGAGCCAAACGATCAATAAACATGCTAAATAGTGTGATGATGAGATTAATCATTTGATTAACAAAAATGATGACACACTTTTAGTTATTTATGTTTCATTTAGGATTATTAATTAAGGAGTTCATTTGATTTTAAGTGTCCAAATGATCAGTTTTTCTGTTGTTGGCGGACAGATTTAAGAAATATTAAAAGCACATCAGACTGAGACAGTTTAGTGATAAAAGCCGTCATTCATGATGGGAAAACCTGATGATTTGAGCCTCATTTTGCTTGGGAAAACGGAAAAATAGTCAAATGTTTTTTTTCTTTGTTTCTTATCAGTAGTTTGAAAAGCCGCACAAACCCTGTTTTTTGTGAAAACACGTGTGTCCTGTCGGTCTGCGTTAAGTCACGTGACCTTGTCTTTTCCCTCCCCAGCGCCATGGCCACCTACCCGCCCACCTGCTCCAACACCAACACGTCCCAGGGAATGAACATGGCCAACAGCATCGCCAACCTGCGGCTCAAAGCCAAGGAGTACAGCCTGAACCAGGTGCCCACGGTCAACTGAGGGGAGGGGCGGCCGGGGGGCTCACGCCAAAGGGGGGGGGGACCCTGGCAGACGGGCGCCGTCCCCGGGACCAGCTCACACGTCTTGGAGTGTGACGTCCCGGTGCCGTGATGGCGAAATACCACCGATAAGCAAAATGTTGGACAGCGAGTGATGGCGGGATTTCCCCTTTTTCTGCTGAGTCATGACTGGATGCTGAATATCTGCGCAGTTTAACACGTCTGAGACTGAAGTCCCCATCAGAGGACTTGTTTTTTTAATTGTTTTTGATGGAGACTTGCACACGGACCGCGTGGGATCCACTTCTCTTTGCTCTGTGGTGCAGATGGAGGCACCAAGTGGACCAGCTCCTCTTTTCTTTTCTTTTTTTTATAACTCGGCAAACAAACCAGCAAAGACTTCCTCCGACATTTACTCAGTTTTTTTAAAGTTTGTTTTTTCCACATTTATACCACTGAGACGCAAACATTTCAGCGCATTTTGATTTTCATGTTATAGTCCATTATAAAGGAGAAGCTAATGTATTTCTGATCCAAATCCAGTAGATTATTTCCTATGATATCCCTCATTTGTAACAGAACTTTGCATATTAATAAAAATGTGTTTCAAGCAATGCGGTGGCGCAGTGTCCGACTCACCAAAAAGGCTGATAGTTTGCCTCTCTCCTTTTTAAGCTCACGTTTGTCCTCAGTCCTTCCCAGACCGGGATGGCTCAGATTGGAGGATTTATGACTCCTTGTAGCAGAACTATGACTTCTACAGTGCAGTTAAGTCTAAATCATGCTTCAGAAACTATGAAAAATAAGTATGTTTATAGTTGAGACCATTTGGAAAGCAAAATGATCCTGAAGCTGGTGCACGCTCCATAAACGGGAGATTTACAACCCGAGAACAGATCCTCCTTCAGAGGAACCTCAAGCTGTTCCTGCTTTGCGTGTCTTTTTTTTCCCCCTGATTGCCGCAACCTGAAATTTCCATCTTAAAACAGGATATTTATGAGCAGGGAAATCCTCTGCTTAATGTGGAGGGCCCCCGGGCCTCATTTACCTCTGCGGCTGTCATGCAAGGTGTTTCTTCTCCGCGGCCCCTCGTAACCCTCAACATCAACATACATGTGGGTGCTCGTCCTGGAATGGCGAGCTCGCGCCGTAAAAGCAGGGTCCAGTGAACCCCGGCCCTCTGGGTCATGTCCGCCTAAAGTCCATTCAGTTTTAATCTTTATAGACACTTTAAGCCGCGGCAGAGAACAAAAAAATCTCCCTCCACAGGATGTAGTTTTTTAGTTTTTGTGTTTCCATTTCTGAGCATCGTTAACTCACAACACAATTATACCCAGCTGATTCGGTTTTTCTATTTCCAGCCAGTGACACAGGAAGGAAGAATATATGCGTTGAATGGATTGATGTTAGTTTCAGGATTTTTCTTTCTTTAATTAACAGCTGCCTGTCACAAAGACAACAACTATTTATTTGGCAGATGTGTGAAAAATGCAAAAGATAACACAGTTTGACAGACAGAAAATAGGATTTTTGAAGCAACAAGCCGATAGTGTGCAGTGTGTTCTTAAAACATTTTAGGAAACTGGATAAGTGGAGGACAAAAGAATTGGTGGGCCAAAAAACTATCTACAGCAGATGAAGAGGATCTGAAAGTGATGTCCTTAAGAAAGAGGAAAGAATCCAGCAAAGAGCTGACAGGAGCTGAGAGATGCATCTGGACCTTCAGCTGATCATCTCCTGTTGGACCAAGCCTCATCAGAAATGCTCTCCATGAAGGGAGGCTGTCCAGAAGCCATTCTGAAGGAGAACGGAACAAAAGGCAGCCCACATCCAAAGAAGAGCTTTGGGATGTCCTTCAAGAAGCCTGGAGAACTATTCCTGAAGACTCCTTAAAGAAAGGACCCAGAGCTGGTTGGAGAGGGTTCAGGCTGTGCTGGAGAATGAAGGAGCTCAGAGCAGAGATTCACTTTAAGCTGCACAATCACACTCACTTTGCTTCTGCTGCAGGTTTCACTTTAAGCTTTGCTTTGACACGAGTGTTTTTGGTAAATCACTGCATCGATTTCCAGTTTTCCCTCTAAAGAAAATAGTTTTTTGGGGACTTGTGCAGCACTGTATCATTTGGAAGAGAGAGCCAGCTCTCTTCAAAGCGGCCTGATTTGGTTGTTTTCCTGATCCCTGACTGTGGTATGTCCAGTGTCAGACCCCAGTCCCCCTCTCCCCTGCCAGGCGCCCGGGCTCACCTTTCACGGCCAGGGCCTGGGCTGACCTGAAGTGATTCCAGATGTGGATATCTTGTTGACCCCTCCCCCCCCTCCTGCCTCACCTCATCCTCCCCCTCTCCCCTTTTCGCCCCCAGGCCCCGGCCAGCCACTCCATCAGGGCTGACAGCGTCCCCTCGGACAGCGTCTCTCCTCGCCTGAGCACATGACATACAAGGCAGCCCCCCCCCCCCCCCCACCCCCCACCCCCCATCCTCCCACCCCCATCCTTAGCAACACATCTGGAGCTCATTACAGAGGAGACAGTGAGAGCGAGGGAGGGGCGGGGAGTCTGCGTGCAGAGTATGTGTGCCTGAGAGCGGGAAGCGGAGCATTTCTTAACCCTGAAACATCCACCTTTATTCTGCCCTGGCCTTTTTTCTCCCTTTTCCTCCCGCCTGCCGTGATCTCTGTCCCGCTGCCTCACAAACCCCCTCCATTAATGAGCGGTTTTTCTGGAGGGAGCTCGGCACCAGAAAAGCAGAAAATCTGCGAGTGAAATACTGCACAGCTGTTAACAGTGTGTGGTTTGGGTGAACAACCAAAAGAATGTCCCGAGATGTGGAGTTTCCACGCAAAGTCGAGTTGACTGAGAGGCTGCACTGTTTGTGTGATTAAGTCACTATTATTGCACACTTTTCATAAACACAGATGCAGGCTCGAATGCACTCTTTGTTGGACTGTAAAGGAAACATAATTAGCCTCAAACTGCCATCCCAAGGTTAGATGCAGTGACCATATGTACTGCCGTCGCCAAAGGGAGGCTGTTTTTCTTTCTTCAGGAACTGAGAAAACCTGGCTGCTTTTCCTGATTAGCATTTTTTCGAACCGCTTTGTGCCAACAGAACCTGAAGCGTTACATCACAGTGTGGGTTTCTTTTTTTTCCCGGAGCATTTGGCCATCTTTTGTTTTGGTTGTGATGACGTTGTGGTAACCGAGCAATCGCTGAGATCTGGGAACATTTCTCTGAGTGCTGCTGGGACAGAAAGCAACTCCTCTCTGAAGCTTTTCGGCACTTTGTTTTCGTGCACTTTCTGCTCTGAAGTGAACACTCGGTGCTGAAAGAAATCCGGCTTACAGATGGGAGGTTGGGGGGTTGGCCTCACTTTTCCCCCCTCCTTAAACTCTCATTTTCAGTGTTTGTTAGCCAATTCATCCTCTCAATTCATTTGATTTAAAAAAAAAAAAAATTAAACATCATAGCAACTTTCATCTCTAAAGATTAAAAAATCCAAGCAGTTCCAATTTGAAGAATTTGGATGGAGAACAAAAACTAGGAAAATTACCCTTGGAGGTTATTCAGTAAAAGTAGTAGTTTTCCTCACCAAAACCAAAACAACAACTGTGGTGGACATCCACAAGATCAAATCAGATTAAGGTTAATTTAAGAATTTAATCTAATTGCTGGAACATTTGCAATGTCATATCTGCCAGCTACTCACTGACTTCGTTGTTTGTCCACTCAGAAGATGTCACCATTTCCACTAATCAGCATCAAGTATTTTCTCACAAACATACAAAAACCAGCTCAATAGAGCATCTTAATGATTTATGATCATGATAATGATGATTTTGGTAAACACAACTGAATCAATGGTGCTCCACAGAATCAACGGTTGAATCATTTTAGCTCGCACTAAAACTTAAAAACTGCTTCAGAGGTGGAAAAGCAGCACAATCGGGAGTGAAGATCTTAATGAAATAAACAAAAAGATGAGTTGTATCTCTTATGTATGTGGTGAAAAAACTCAAACTAAAGAGAACATAAAAAATTGATGCTCATGTTAGTTCATCTCACAGTTTATATTCAACTTAAATTACTTTTTAAAAACTCCTGATCAGCCTCTTTCTTTACTTCTTTAACGCTGAGCGATGGATCATTGAGGCAGAAATAAGGCCCCTAACTCAAGGGATGAGCCAGTGTTGTGTCGAGACAGAACACACCACTTAGCAGAGGAGTTTAAATGGGATCTTTAGGCTCTTTGTTACCAGCAGCCTGTTACTTTGTACCATCTCCTCGGTTTTTTGTTGATGGAAATGAGCCACAGATATATTTTCTATTGAGCAACATTCCAAATTGGCTTGCGGTTGATCCCTTTGAGCCCCAAATCTTCGGTACAGAGATATTTGGTACCCACATTTTACCCCTTAGATTGTCGCATATTTAACCAACTTTATTAATTACTCTACATGTTGTCTAAAATGGGGAAAGATGGGACTATTTCCTCCACACACGTTTGTTTCTCTTCCATTCTTGGCTCCATCTGGTTGGTCATCTCATTTCCATGTTGGTGATTGCACATGACAGGCTGTGGTTAATTTGCCATGTAATTATACCAGCTGGGACTGATGAGCAGAGATTTAAGGTCAGACTCACAATAGGTAATAGTTCACTTTTAAATCACGATAAAATAATTTTAAAAAGCTCTGGATGTCCTAGTGCGCCTTAAAACCTCATACAGTGCAACACAGGCAGAGATAGCTTCGCTTAATCCTGGAACAAACCTAATTATGGTGTCATAAATGCTTCTGGCTTGGCTCGTCCTGTATGTATTAGCATTTTAATTCTCCCAGCTCCTGAGGTCCAGCAGGGAAACAACCAAAACAACAATTATGGTGAGTGACATGACGTGAGCTCGGAGACACTGTCTCTGTTTAATCATTGCCAGAGCTCATATTCCCCTGTGGCATATGAACTATTTTGAGGAGTCTGTTGATCTTTTACAGGATGTTTGGCCTCTTAAAGCTGGATACGTGTATGACCTGGGAAATATGTAAGAAATCTCGGCAGCTCAGATATTTGCTTACCACAGGGAATACTATGGTAGTCATTTGAAGGGAATACAGCCTGTTTTGAAATCTTTCTGCTTTTAAATGTCTCTTTTATGACTGAAACAAAGTAGTAAAAGGCAGTGTTATCGCACAGCAGAGTCTCTGCTATCTTACCTGTCAGCTGTTGATGGGTGTGTGTGTTACGTTCTCCACAAATCTGGCTCACTCAGCTCAATATGAAGCCATGCCCTGTGGTTCTGCACAGCTCACATTCCAACAGAAATGGGGTTCTACACTAATAATTGTTTAGAAAGTGTACAACATGTTCTTTGGATAAA